AAGAACATGAACTTGGGTAGGAAATGATATGGGAAGGATCTGGGAGGAATGAAGGGAAAGAATATGACTAAAATATACAATTTCTTTTAAATAAGAACCTAATTTTTAAAAATTAATAATCTGTTTTAGTGTATAATATAAAGTACATTAATGTGGTCCTTAGTCTCCCTACAGTGCCATGGAATGGTTGAACTTCTTATCAATCAGTTTTTCACCATCCCTTCCTCCACCAACTGCTTGCTATTTATAATTCTCTCTTGTTTTCACTAATCTCTTTTCCCTTCAAAATTGAGCAGAAGGCTGAGGAATCCCCAACAAGCACATTAACAATTTTTCCCTACTATAGCACCTATGAGAGTCTGTGTCCTCATTCCATCGCTACGTGAGTTTCAAGTGTGAACTGAATGTAGTGTCTGGACCCAGGAATGTAATCCCAATGGGGAAAGTACTGAGGGAAACATCAGTAAAAGATATTAAATGAAGAGCGAAACAAGTAGGGGGCTGCCCTGTAAGACTTTAGCCAACTGCTACTTGAGCTGAGATTTCAAACAGGGACCATACGAGAAAAGCAAGTGAGTAAAAATCAGCCCTCTAAGCAGTATGTGACCGGGAAGAGCACAGCGGGTCTGAAAAATGAAAGCAGAGACGATGATTCAGGAGCAGAGGGGAGGTGGGTTAGGCTAAAGGATACAGGGATCCTGTTTGAGCACTTAGCAAAGCCCAGGTGCTTCTGTACAAAGTTTATCTGAAGGGACCCGCTTATCGAATCTTTATTTTAGAGGTCTAGAGATCTATGTCAAGGGGACAAAAATAAATTGTGGCTGCTTAAAATTTTAAGCACGTTAGGACTTAGAGTTGGTATGAGGAGATGTCTGTTCTGAAACACGGACCAGAAGCATGACGTGCAGAATGTCTTGGAACAGAACAGGGATGCTATGGAGGACATCATAAGCAGCCGGGTAAGGGATGGTGACAGATCAAAGCCAGGTGGTGGCATGGGAGATTAGAGATGCGGACAGATTCAAGAGCACTGGCAATAGGCTATGGGGTGACGCAGGGAGAAACACCCAAATGTCAGGCCAATGTGGCATCCTTCTCTCAGGAGAGGCTCTTAGGTCAGTTTGGAACACACTAAGTCTAAGTGAGTTTAGGAGAGTGGTCCCCAACTTTTGGGTCTCAACCCCTTTGGAGTCCGAATGGCCTGTTCACAGGGGTTGCAGATCAGATATCCTGCATATCAGATATTTACGTTATGATTTATAACAGTAGCAAAGTTGCAGTCATGAAGCAACAATGAAAATAATTTTATGGTTGGGGTCCCCACAGCACAAAGCAACTGTATTAAAAGATTGCAGTGTCAGAAAGGCTGAGAACCACTGTTTTAGGGAGTAAGTGTACAAAGTGTTATCAACCTCAGGTTTGAGTATCTTTGACCTGAAATTCTTGGGGCCAGAAATATTCTGAACTTGAAGTTTATTTTTCAGATGTTCAGAATATTTATATATACTTCTGAGACAGTCCAGGAATAAAACCCTAACTGCAAGACATTAAATCCATGTTTTGTCTCGCATATACCTACACACATGACTGGAAAGCAATAACATGCAGCGCTTTTGATAATTTTGCAACAGAGGAGCTGCATTGTCCTTCCATTCAAAGGGATCTGTGCCAATCAGCCATCTTTGCATCATTGCGATAACTTCAAAAATTAATGTCCATTGAACTATTTTCTCAGTATTTCTTAATATCTTATCTTCATGTGTATATGTAGAGGTAGCGTGTGTGCTCATGTGTGTGCAAGTGCTCTTGGGATCAGAATCAGATCTCATGGAGCTGGAGTTATAGACAGTTGTGGGTCACATGACATGGTGCTGCAAGACCAGTACATGTTCTAATTGATGAGCCTTCTCTCCAGCCCCTCAATATTTAACCGATATGATTTGTCAAGTGTATAATCCCCTCCACTAGCCAGCTTCTAACTACTTCCAGTCAAGTGGGTCACCAACAGGAACCCACCATAATTCTAAAGCTTTTACTATCTGGCCAACACTGAATTATCCAACAGCGTTGAAATCTATAATGAAGTCGGCTGGCCCTTGAGCAGAAGAGACGCTTCTGAAATGCTCGGTCTCTGGGTTTTCACAGAGGAAGGCAAAATGGTAACTGTGGTGCAGCCCGAACCATTCCTTCCAGCGGAACAACTGCCAAATGGCTTGGCTCTCCGCTCACCAAGGTTCAGTTTTGCCACACAGATATCTCAGCTGCATGCATGAGGAAACCAAGACATGAACGTTATTTAAAATATCCATCAGAGAACCACAGGATCACATTATATTTGGCTATAATAGGCCTGGATTCTTAGGTTTTTGTCTCTATTGCCTTAGTCACCTTCACCAAGTGTGAAGATCAATAATCCCAGCTGTCAAATTGATTAAACACACCTAGTAGAGCACGTTTTCAGGCGTCTTTGAGGTTTGTTTCCAGGAACAACTTGGTCATGCTGTTCTTGAACGAGTCAGTTATTTAGTCTGTGGATGGATTCAAATCTGAATGGGTTACCAGGATGTGGTAGGACCATGCAAGAATGAGAAGGAAATGCTGGCTTGCTTGCTCTCACAGAGCCCTGTCAAAAGCTATTGCCTAATCATGTTTCAAATACATATCTCAGAAAAACAAGTTCCCACTCACATCAGACACCCTTGTACGAAGGAAGTGGAAATGAGGACAAGCGTGATGGTGATCGCGAAGGTCTGATGACTCTTTACCATGCACTGAGAGTTTATTAGGATTTTAAATACCTGGCCTCATTTAATATTTACAAGAATATACCATGCTCTTCAGTAGCATACAAGAAGAAAACCTGGGTGGCAAAAAGGCTGAGAAACTCAGAGAAGATCCCAGCACTAGGAGGAAGTAGCGATGAGAACTTGGTTCACAATGTCCAACTTGAGTGATGTTGCTGATTAGGAATTAAAACTGAGTCCTCAAGCAGCCGATACAAATGCTCCACAACTGAACTGAGCCCCTAGTCCCTCTTTTACTTGTGTATAGGGTGCAGGGTGCTGATTAACTTGGCCAACGTGACACAAACTTAAGTCAACTGTGAAGAGGGAACCTCAACTGAGGAATTGCTGCCACCAGATGGACAGCATGTTGGACATTTTCTTGATTCATGAACAATGTGGACAGTGTCAGCCCTGGGAGTGGTCCTGCGTTAGAGAAGGAGAACTGAACATGAGCTTCTGCGTGAGCCAGAAAGCAGTGCTCATGTCTCTATTGCAGGTCCTGCCTCCAGGTTCCTGCCTCGAGTCCCCTTCCACCATGAGGGACATCTGTCCGCAAATAGGCCCTTTCCTCTCCACAGTCCTCCTAGTTAGTATGACAGCCGCAGAAACAAAATGGGACAGACAGGCTCTCACTAAGTTATACAAGCTGGCCTTGAACTTGCTCTGTAACCCAGGCAGGCTTTATATTTGTGAACTTCCTGCCCCAGCCTTGTGAGCAGCTGTTCCGGGAGGCACCCTGTATGAGTCTGGGCTTTAATTATATCCATCTTGAAAGTGCAAAATATTTTAGCAGTGTTGGTCACAAACCAACCCCAGTGTGCAAAGTATTAGCTTCTCCCCTGAGAAGAGCTTATGGTGTCAGATATAAAGTCCTGGAATGGCCTCCCAAGTAACTAGAAATTCAAACATTAGGCTGATGTCAATACTGAGAATTTCCCAGAAACGAATGAACTCAATCTGAACATTCTGCCCAGTGTCACCTTTTGGAAGAGGAAGACAGGAGAAGGAGACAAGCCAGCCTATGCTCTGGGAGACTTCAGCTTAAGAACCCAGGTGAACGGGCCTCAGAACACAGCTGGACTGACATGGAGCTGAAATCCTCCGAGCCTTCTGCACACCTCATCAAAGTTTCCCAGTCTGAGCTACAAAGGAGGGGACATTGGAAATTTGATTTAAAAAAAATCACAAACAAGTGGGGCAAAGTCCACATAACCCACCAGTGAGGCAGGACTGTAGTTCCAAGCAGACATAAAAAGGCTAGCTTACATGTAGCAAAGTTCTAGGGGGCTCTGAAGCAGCCCCTTCTCATGTGAGGCCTCATTTCATTCAGCTGAGAACTGAAGCTTTGTCACTAAAAAACTAGAAGAAAACTGATGAGGTTTCCATAAGGAGGAAATGAAGATATCATGATGGTCGCTTCCAACAGCAAGGCCTAGGAGACGGCTTAGCAGTAGTCAATTGCAATCGTTATTGTAGATAAATAACTAGCGAGCAGCAGATGTTGTTTACAGCAGAGTGCTTGCTTAGCAGATTCCTAGTACCACAGGGAGGGAAGAAGGAAGGACGGAATGAAGGAAAGAAGAAAGGATGGAAGGAAGGAAGGAAGGAAGGAAGGAAGGGAATAAAAGGAAGGAAGGAGGGAAGGAATAAAGGATGGAGTGAAGGAAGGAAGAAAGAGAAAGGAAGGAAGGAAGGGAGGGAGGGAGGGAAGGAAGGGAAGGAAAGGAAGGGAGGGAGAGGGGAAAGCAGGAAAAAAGGAAAGGATAAAGGAAGGAGTGAGGGAAGGAGGGAGGGCGGAGCCATGTGTGGTGATTTTAATGAGGAATACTTCTGATAGACTCACTTCTTGATCTTGCCCACATGACTTGCCAGCTCTACTATTAAGAACTTCAACCCTCTGAAACAATAAGGCAGGAAAACTCCTTCCTGAAGTTACTTTTGATCATGGTATGTTATCAACAGCAAAGAAAAGGAACTATCACTGAAATCTATGGTTTTAGGAAGGAATTCTGAATACAAATGGCAGGCTGACTCTGGGCCCAACTCATGTACAGGACCGGTGGTGCTTTTGTTATTCATGAAGCTATAAGTTTTCTTTGTTCCCAGAGAGTCCATGCAACTGCTGGGTTGGCTTAGGGCTGGCTGTGCCATACTCCGTTCAGCTCCCCTCATCCCCTGTCCTCGGCAGATCAGAGGCCTTGCTCAGAGCCTTACCTTGCTGCTTTTGCATGGTAGTGAAGTCCTCAAAAGTCAGGGTGCGTACGGGAGGTCTCCAGAATGCATATGTCTCCATAATGGCTTCAAGTCCAGTTCTGGAAGAAGAACAGCCAGAAAATCAACTTGTAAGCAATCCCAAGCATTCACTGATATTTGAAGTTGCAAGGGGAGTTGTCTGATGGGTGACACACCACAGCCTCTGGGAGACACACCACCAGGCTAAATCTGTCTGGGAAAGTACAAGGTCTGGATGGTGCTACGTTGCTGGAAGAAGAACAAAGGGAACTAATTCAGATCATTCACAAGAAAGTCCTTAACCGTGATGAAACTCAACTTCTATTTTCCTTCCAAAGAGGTCCAATGGACATGATAATACAGTGTATTTAAGGTCAAGGCTATCACGAGTACAGTTGAGCAAAGAGTAGCACTGACTGCTTCTCATGCCGCCACCATGACCTCACCATGGCTGACACATCCTGCCCCAGAGCCAGCTCCACATCCAGAGTGTGGAAGGCTCAATGAAGTTGTCAGGCTGATGTGACTTCAAAGGTCCTAAGTCAACAAAGGGCGGGACAGCAGAAATGGGAGGGGAGGAAACAAGTGCACTCGAGTTTTATCGTAGTGAGAAATATCCACCCAAAGGAAAAGAGAAAAAAGACAACAGGCAAGAATAGTCTATATCTCTGAATGTTTATCTTCATTTGTAACCTAATAATTAAATGGCTCTTGGAAACCATAAACTTAGATTTTAGAAAACGTCGATTTTAAAATTACATTTATGTACAGCATCTGGTCTAGTCACGTTGCGCACTCTGTAAAATGGACTATATGCATACTATTTCCTTATCATTCAACTGCATCCCTATATGAAATACTGAAAGAACTGCCTAGGGATTCCAGGATATTGTCATGATATGCAACATCCTCAGAACAGAATGTAGTTTGGGGCTCTGCTAAAAGCTTTGAAACTAAAAGCTAAAAGCTAAAAGCTTTTAAAACTTGTGTCAGGAAGTGGAGGTTGGGGGACTGTGAAGAAGAAGGGGGATCACAATGGCCTAGTTCTCTTCATGTGACGCCATCACAAAGTGCATGATGTACCTCTCAGCAAATAGATCTTTCCTATTGAAGAAATTATGCTCTCTGTCCTGCTACCTAAGTAATCCACTTGCTCAGCTCTGTTATATGCTAAGAATAAAGTGAGAAGTCTTATTTTAAGTGAAAACAAATACCTTCTCCCTTTAACTGATGCTCATCCCCCCCAGCCTGGCATTCTCAGAGGAGCCACTGATGCATGGACAGTCTCTCTGTGTTGGGAATTTTGCTTTCTGGGTAGGCTTTGCTTGCACATTTCTCTTTCTAAAGGCTTCCCTGGTTCTAGGAGGCTTTAAATACACTGACGCTGGCAAACCGAACTCTGTATTTTAAGAAGAGGTTCACAGGAGAGAGCAGTGCATGGTGTTTATTAGCTGTTAATCTGTGAGAAGCAGGAGCAGACGAGATCTCTACCATCAGTCTACATTGGTGCTGAATACAGTTCGTGGGACTATTTGTGGAGAGAAAGAGCTCAGGCAATTAAGGGAGTTCAGAATAATAAGGGGAGAGGCAGATAAAGCCATGTTGAGCCTGGGTGGATAGAAGAAATAGATAGGCCCAGCTTAGATCTGACTGTTTTGTCCTGGAATGTTGGCAGCCCACCAGAACAGCCTAGGGTTCCCTTTAATGGTCCAGGAGGCTCACTGCAGATGGCAAGGGTTTATTATTCCACCTTCCAGCGCATCTTTTCCAGGGGCAAGTGTACAGCATTAAGGACAAAAGCTAGCTCAAGGACAAAGAACAATCCCGTCTCGTTTCATAATAACATGGTAGGAAACTGGGAAGTTTCAGCAGTACTGCAGTATAATGCCAACACTGTAGTTTTTAGTAAGTAGAAGTAGATTTGGTTTCTTTTTCATAATACTATTTCCAAACGCTATGGCATGGAATGGATTATTTTATTTGTGCAGTCAATTTTATACTATAATAGAATGACTATGTGTCAATTACCAAATTTAACTTTTTTTAAAAAGTGATGGAATCATAGATTTAAAACATAAAAAGATTCAGAGATGTGTATTCTATCTCTTCTGGCATTTTTTTTTCAATGGTTATCCAGCCTCTATTGGTGTATTTCCTTGGGAAGACATTTTGAGTTTTTGTTCAATCTGTTATTAAGCTGCTTCTGACAGTTGGATGAAATTTCTGGTGTAAATTCCATCCTCTGGTGAAGTAATGAGAGTCTCATACATCACTGACAAAACTTCTGTCTTCCACACCCTCCTCTAGGAGACGTTTCTTAGCCTAAGAATCCAGCATGCCATCCATAGACGCACCCGCGGCCATCCAGGAGTTCAGATAGCAAGGGTTATTCTCACGGCAAAGAAGTAGGGATAGCATTTATAGTTCCCCAAAAGTAGGCACAAACGATACCATTATTAGACACATTTTATTGTTGAACTATATCTTCCATAGATTTTTACTGTATAGGAAAACTATAAACTAGCCTTTAGTATATACTCTCCTATATAGTATGGTAGGAATCTCAAGCACTTATATAACTTTATCTGTTTTAGGATTCTGAGTAGTCCCCTTTTTAGAAAAATTAATCCCGTTTTTTGCTATATGCCTTATATTCTATTTGTCTCAAACTCTATCCGGCTTCACTGACTAGAAATCACCAGTAATGTATCTCAGAACAATTTAGTAATCCACTCTTTCTACAGCTCGCTTGTATGTGCTTCAAGAGATTCAGATCCAAGATTTTTCTTAGCTCAAGTGCCTAGCATAATGATTGATGTATCATGTGTCTCAATTCATGTGCACTGAATTAGCAAACAGGTGTCATTATTTTATAATTTTACCAAGACTGACCATTTTCTCAATCGACACATGTTGGATTAACTAAATAGAGGAACTAGTTCGTAAGTTTTAACTAGTACACATTCTTTTTTCCTGGTTTAAAATTTTTAAAACCAACTTGGTATAAAAAGTAAAATCTCTGAAGGTAGAAAGAATTCTCTAGTGCCAAAGTTTGAAGCCGTTTCCTCTCTGTCTGAACGGACTTCTGTCTATTTGGACCAAGGTCTCCAGAAGGTTTCCCTCTCCCTCTGGCTTCTTTTGTCCTGGACTTAGACTTTTTGACCTTCCATAGAGTCTGAGCACCCTGTCAGAGTTTGGGCACTTCTACACTTGTCTTCTCTCAGAGTCTTTGTCAACGACCTGTGAAGGTCTTCAGCTGTTGGGTGGCTACTCCAGGTGCATCTTGTACTAGCACTAGCTAGTGTTTGTTCACTGTTATCTTGCCCTAATTTTGCGAATTTTTATCTCTAAGCCTTACAGAATGGACTCATTATTTCACACGTGTGAAAAGCTGTGTTGGGTAGTGTTCGGTTAACACATTCCCCATGGTGGGCCTCTGTGGGCTGTGGCACAGCAGAGACCTGGCGTCTTCTCTGGAGCTTCCGATCAGAAACAGCCAAATTGGCAATTGTTCCCTCTTGCTGCCTTTTCCCCCGTTAGTCCAGTGACAGCAGAGGCCACATCTAAACCCCCTTTCTTCAGTCTTTTGGCTGTAACTTCCTCTCTGGTTTCCAAGCTGATTCTCTTTCAACTTGGCCAAGCCAAAGGCTATGCTGACGGAAGAAGAGGAAGGAGGCTGAGCTAGCCAAAGATCTCCTTCACATATGAATGGTGCCTCAAGATCAACTGATCTGGAATCGCAACCCAGAGTGGAAAGAAATATCCTCCCAACTGCATTTAAAAAAGAGAGGAAGAGAGACTTCTTTTGAAGTTCAGCAAATACGAGACAATTGTAATAATTATCATTAAAATATCTGTGATCCTGTTTAGGAATCACTGGACAGAGTTTTCACATTATCCTGGCCTTGAGATAGGAAACTGTTTCTTCGTCATTGTCTGTTTATTTTCTCTTTATCTCTACTTTTTCTTAAGTTTGACGTCTCCCTAAACGGTGTGACGAGATTATTGTAAACAAGAGAGCGCATGCAATAGATTGAGATGGCCAATGTTCCTCTCTCAACAGAAGGAAGTCTATGGTTAAAAGTATCCTAAGGTAGCAGGGATTTTGAAAGCCTAAAGGAGTGTTCAGACTATAAAAAAAAAGTCTTAGCTGATATAAAAGCAAAACAGACACAGAGTTATTGCCCTTAAGGAGTGTCGTGTTCAATAAAGAGAGGAAGAGAGAGAAAAAACCAACATGAAAGGGACCGTTTTACAAACTGTCAGATACACTGGAGATATAAAAGAGGTGTTGTGAAGCCTTGAGCAAGAAGTATTTAATAGATCTGGGAAACTAGAGGAAGATTCAACAACCGGTCACCTATTTAACCTAAATATTAAATGACCCTCTCAGCAACCTTCCACCCAGAACAAGAGGGAGCTTTTACAGCAGAGTCAACAATGTGTGCAAAGACTTAGCAGTGTGAAAAGGAGGGTGTGTTCTGGGCACATTCATGGTGTTATTGAAACTCTTTGTGTACGGGGGAGGGTGTAAAATGGACTTTCAGTCCAGATCTGATTAGCCTATCTCAATGCTTTTAATCTATCCTTGCTCTCTTGAGGACAGACAGGTCGAACCTTCCACACTTTCCTCTCTCACTACTTTGTAGAATCAGTTCCAACCTCCAGTTATTTAACACATTTCTTGTTCATATGTTCTAAAGGATCTCAAATCTGAATTCTACAATTTAAGGACAAACTTATCATGTGGAATTTGGCTTCTCGGTATACAGCAGTTTCATCAACACAATGACAAAGCTGCTGTCAGTAAGCCTCCTTCGCTGGCTTTGGAAGAATGAGTAACCAATGGAAATGTAATTGACTGGAATTGAATGAAAATTGTCCATCACCTGCTGGTCCCAAGAGGTTCCCTTTCCAATGTCCTTCTTAGAGTTTAGATAAGTTGTAATCGCAGTTCCTGGGCATTTGCAATGTCTCAAGAGTAATCAAAAATTGTAACCACACTAAACAGTTTAGCTAAAACAATAAGTTCCTTTGCATTTGACTGGAATAGTCTAGCTTTGTTATTCGGAACACCACA